TCATCGAATTCCATCTCTTGTTCTAATATGTAAGAATACTTCATAGCCATGTCAGCTAGTCTATAAAGGTGCTGGCCTGAAAGCGTATTTTCAGAAATACTGTAATTTGTCTTTTAAGAAGTCTGTCACAGCGAGAAAGACAATTGGTCGGCATGGAAGGACCAAGGTTGCATCAAGAGCATCTTGGCAAAATCCAAACCACCCTTAATAATTATTATTTTTAGAATAATAATAATAATGATAATAATAATAATTATTATTAATATTATTATTATATGTAGCAAAACCTAATTGCCTTGTTATCTAATCTGTATAGGTGCTAGCCGGCAAACTTTTTTTCATGTTTTAGTGTTTTCGTCATAGATACTGCTTTTTGCCATTGAATAAGTCTGTCACGGCGAGACAGACGAGCGGTCAGCGCTGATGGATCAGGGTTATTTGAAGGTTTACATTCAAAAATCCATCCCATTTTTATGTGTATTATTAGTATTACCATTATTATAATTAGTATACTTATTATTTTTGCTATTATTATCAATAAGTTACTTTATAATACATTTAAAATAGCCGTTAAATCTCCTTTTTTCTGCTAATATGTAAAAAACGCTTGATAGCCTAGTCTGCACAGGTGCTGGCCTTGGTACCTCGGGGAAGGTGGTGACGGATTCATTTAGTTCATAATATTTCCAGTGCCAGGCCGAAAGTGAGACTGAGTTTCGTCTTCCCGTATTCACTAAACTGTCAGGATCCATCATGGTACCTGACCTCATTTTCTTCAAGATTGTCAGATCTTGAATAAGAGCCTACTACTGTTTAATGGTTTAAGATGACATAAGTACTGACAGTTTACTTTCCAGAATTCCTATTGTTGCGTGATTATTTAGTGATTATATTAAAGATAACATTATATGCAAACTGTATTCATGCTAATTTGTTTAATGTTATGAAGGACTGGTTGTTGAATTTTCCCACCAGCATATGAATAAGTATTCCTGAAAACCTACTCATCAAATGAAACTAAAAGTAGCATTGCCGCATCGAAACACGCGCTAAACATGTGAAATGAAAGGAGCCTGGCTCGCCTCAAATGTCCCATCTGTCCTGTTGGCCAGAGGAACCTGGCTTCGAATCTCGCCAAGGGGACTAATGAAGCCTAAGTTAGGTCGAACCTGCAGTTCTAACAGCCTGAGAAAGCCTTTGAGCAGGTTCCTTTTCGTGTCATTTAAAGTTAGTTTATTATCTCACTTTTTGGCAGATTCTATTCATACATCTTATTTTAAACGTTTTCTCCCAAAATCTGTTTTATAAATACGCTAGCTCGTCTACTTTGGCCTCAACGAGTCTTATGCTTGCGGATATCCTAAAAAACCCTTTACTCAGAGCCATAATCTCTTTCATAGCCCATCTCTGAGGCTTCAGAATCTGGCTTCTCGTTTATGTACTAGTCACTAAGTCACTATCCTTTGCAACCTTTCGTCTGAGACTCTCCTTTCTGATCGCCCACCTCATCAATCTCTCTCCGACTTTAAACCAACTTAATCCGCATAGAGTATTGTCCTCATGTATCCTCTCAGTAACTTAATTTGTTTACTATAAGACAAAATAGAACGTAAGTCTCTGACCTCAGCTGAAGCTCTCGAGTAGATTTCTAGTCGGTCTTGTTCACCCTTTTGTCCTTTCCCTTATTCTCTAGAACACCGAACTCCAATATATTTTTATATATTTATATTTATAGACAGGACAGTCTTAGGATCTTGAATAAGAACCTAAGATTGTCTAATCGTCTAAGAGGATATAAGTACTGACTGTTTACTTTCCCGCATTCATATTGTTGCGTGATTACGAAAACTGCTGACCTTTTTATACTATATGTGCATAATATAGTTATATCTCTTATCTATGGATTATATATATATATATAATAATAATATTATATAAATATTGTATAAATATTTTAATAGTTTCCTTAAATGAGAAATATTTCACCCTTGGACATTTGGAGTGATTTTAAGCATGAAATGGTTTGAGTAATTATTTAAATCTTAATATATAGCATATATTACATTGTAATGTATATAAGATATAATTTAAACATGAAATTATTTATATCATATTGCTTTATATCCTATATTATTGCAGAAATAATTCGTATATTACTCAATTCCAAAGTAACCATTATATACAAATATACATATTTATATTTATATTTATGCATTGTGTATATATATTGTGTGAGATCTATTCTACATATCTCATTTAATGTGATACAAGACTGGTAGTTGAATTTTTCCATAATTATATCAGTAGACCTTATTCTTCGATTGAATTTCACATTGTCTAGCTTTCTCAAAAAGTTTTCTCATCCAAGGTGGACATTAGTTTCAACCTTGCCTAGGTCTTATCATCACCCACAGCGAGACTCGAACGATGAGGGTGTAGTGTGTAATTTCGACTCGTCAACAACTATGCCACAGTCACGAGTGCCTTTGTATCACAGGACAGATGTTAATTTCAGGGAAAGCCAGGCATTTTCCCATATTATATTCTGTAGCGCAATTGTCGATGAAGCAAAGATATGTCTGATGTAACAATCGACTACATTACTTATATTTCTTTTATAAGCTGTTGTGTCTTCGCGTAAATTAGATGTATGAGGTGTGTTCACCTCATACTACGGTAGAATTTTCATTTCTACATCGACAATCCTATCGCAGAATGGGATATAGAAAAAGGCTTGGCTTTCCTTGAAATTCACAACTGGCACTCGTGCCATTCTGGCCTAGTTGTTGATGCGTCGCGATAATAAACTGTTGTTTGATGGCTCGAGTTCAGCTTGGAGTGCTGATATTCTATTCACATACCAATCATACTTAAATTTCAAATATCCATATATATATATATATATATATATATATGTTCCGGCTATTCCGGCTTCATTTAAGTTCCATTTTATAGT